AATCTGAAGATAAGCAGCCAGTTTCAGCATTATTGCTTTGTGTAAGAGTGATGAGAAGTTTAACTGTTTACAATTCAAAGATGTAAATTAATTACTCATTAGTACTTGTACAGTGTGATGGCCCCTAAATAGCAGATTTCCCTAAAAGGTAAATATTCGAGGACAGAGGGATTGTGTACTTATTGTCAACGTAACAATCTGAATGTTCACCTAGAGTCCAAAAAGGCCTTGGCCTGTACAGATTTCCAGAGTACAATGGAAATATCCTAGTCTGCCTAGCAGCCAAGATAAGTGCTGTGACTAAATGGAATAAAGAGTTTTCTGGTGAAGCAGGCCCCGTGTGCCACTCATTTGCTTGTAAATACCCAAAATTCTCTTCCAGCTCAGCACCATCCTAGCAGAGTTGGCACCTGAAATGCTGAGGGGGGGAAAAACTGGAATGGCTTGGTATGGTGTGGTGGGGGTGCTAGATTCTTTTCTTTGTCCTTGAGTGTTTATTGCCAGGAAATCCTGACCACCATCGATTGCCAAGGGGTTAAAGACACATTGTTGTTAAATAGGGAGAAAGAATTAGCAGGATTTTTGTGCCCAGAGTTTAACTATCACAATCTCAAAAACAGGAACCAAGAGCTATAGTTGGAGGGGGAGGGGGAAGAGCGGAGTCACAGGGGTGACTTATTAGGGCATGGTTCCAGATAAAGGGCTTCCATTGAGGAGAAATCGCTCTGTGCATATCCTCGGGCCTGAGGGGCTGTGCCATTAGACAGAAGCATGCCCAAAAAGTAAAGCCAGGCGTTCTATACATATCGTTGCCTTAAGGGAATGAGAGGTGGTATTACAGCCATGTTATGTACAGTGCAACAGCATCTTAGAAGTTTTCCATGGCAGTCTATTCTAGAGTACTAAAGAAAGCCGATATTTTTTTGGGAGGAGGGCTAGGCAATGGGGTTAAGTGACTTGCCCAGGGTCAAACAGCTAGTAAAGGCTATGTGTCTGAGGCCAGATTTGAACTCAGGTCCTCCTGACTCCAGGGCCGGTGCTCTGTCCACTGTGCCACCTAGATGCACCAAAAGAGCCGACATTTCATGAGCATGGATTTAGATAGACCATAAACTCCATGTGAGCAGGGGCCTCACTTTGTCTGGCTTCTGTCAAAACATCACCAGCCATGCAATGCACAACTGGCCTTTGAGAATTATTTCTAAAGTAGGACAAGGACAAAAATTAACAACAGTAATAATAATAGCTCACATTCTTCCAGGACAAAATTCTGTCTTCTTAGCAGCCCAGTGAGGTAGGCAGGGCAAATATTATTCTACCCATTTTACAGATGAGCAGGGAGAAGCCCAGAGAGGGGACATGACTTAGAACAGTGAGTTAGAAAGTAGAAGAACCAAAACTAGAACCCAGGTCTTACAATTCCAAATCCAGTTCTCCTTCCTCTCTGCTACACTGCCTTTTGACATACAATTTTATCTTGGGACCAGACCTTCATTGGAATGGGGACCTCCTCATAAGGAAATTCTTTGTACCCATACAGATCCACAGCTGAGGAGGATTGGAGAGTTGCCGGTGGGGGGGGGGGTACTGAGAGTTTTAACTGACTTGCCCAAGGTCACACAGGTAGAATGTATCAGGGGTGGGATGATGAATCCAGGTCTTCCTGACCAGGACCTAGCAGAAAATCCTGACATCTTTTCCAGTACGATCTCTAAACCAGTTGCCACCACCACAAGCCCAATTTCACATCACAGCTTGCCAGAGTTCCCAGCAGGGAAAGAATACAACTGAAGTGACATTCTGCTCCCTACTCTGTCCCCACAGACTTTGCTGCCTCTCAAAAAATAATAATCTAATCCAATATAATAAACATTTACTAAGAGATATGCAAAGTTTAGATAGGAAATGGTCCTTGCCCTCTAAGAGCTGATGGTGTAGTAGGGGGACAAGATACCAGTATATTCAGCTATAATGTCCAATAATACATGAGAAGTGCATGAATGAATTTTTTTTGAAGTTTTACGCGAAATCTAGGAGAGTTGTTCTTAACCTCACAGCAATGGACATTCAAAAGCGTGGTGTAGTGTAAGGAAGTACAGCACTTAGCACAGTGCCTGGCACATAGTAGGTGCTTGATAAATGTTTATTGATTGATTATTGATTGAGCTGAGTGAAAAGTGCATTGGTATTTGGAGTCAGAACACCTATGCTTGAATCCCAGCTCTATTACCAATAACTTGTGTGACCTTGGGTCAATCACTGCCCTTCTTCTTCTGTAGGATGAGGATGAGGGGGTTGAGCCAGATGGCCTCTGAGGCGTCTTCTAGCTCTGAGACTCTGATTCCCCCAGGATCCTGAGAAGACACAATAAATATTGATCTGAGACAGTCCATCCCCTGGCATTCTCTTCTCGCTTCTTCCCATAGTAACATCATTTCTGAAGACAGAAGTTTGAACACCAACTTCTCTCCTGAAATCCCAGAAATCAGCCTAAAAAATGGAAACTGCAGATTTGACATTCCAGAGCAGCCCTGTATCTTAGAAACCAAGAAGAAGCACTGTTGTTGAAGGCAGGCTTACTGCCCTCCGGGGCTCCTCCTTCCTGCAGAAGGCTGAGGTAGACAGAGCTGCCATGAGCTGTGCCGGGACTGTTAACTCACCCTTGGCCTCTTAAGCTCTTTGCTTAGGGTTGCTAACAGTGTCACTAAACTGAATTGCTTGTTAGAGAATGTTCACAGTTCTTGAGTGATCTTGCTAAATAGAGCTGGACTAATTTGGATTGTTATGAACTTGGAATTTGGAAAGGATCGTAATGCCAGTATTATTTCTCCCAATGTATAACTGACTGGTCTGGAGTCAGGAAAACTCATCTTTCTGAGTTCACATCTGACCTCAGACACTTAATATCTGTGTGACCCTGGGCAAGTCACTTAATCCTGTGTGCCTCAGTTTCCTCATCTGTAAAATGAGCTGGAGAAGGAAATGGCAAACCACTCCAGTATCTCTGCCAAGAAAACTCCAAGTCGGGTCACGAAGAGTTGGACACAACTAAAACAACTGAACAACAATGAAGAAGTGACTTAAGGCTTTGGCTGATAGAGTTGGAAGAGGCCAGAGGATAATAGGATTTATAATTTATTTATAATAGGATATTTATTTATGGATGAAATCTTAAAAACCCTCTACTTCAATTTCCCCCATTTTACATAGAAGTAAACTAAGATTTTAAAGGACATCCTGATCCCCATTTAGCAGACCAAGACCTAGCAGAAGATCCTGAAGTCTTTTCTGGGATTATCACTAAACCAGTTGACACCACTATGAATCCAACTTCACATCAGAGTTTGCGTGGGTTCCAGCAAGGAAGGAACTTGACTGAGGTGACCTTCCTTTCCCTGCTCTGTACAAGCAGACTTTAGTGAGCATTCTGCCTGCTCCTCCAGGGATATGACTCTTGGCATCATCATCCTCTCTTCACTATCCATGCTCTTAACAATCAGTTACAGACCTAGAACTGAAAGGGATTTCAGAAGCAATCTAGTCCTTCATTTTACAAATAAGGAAACTGAGGCACTTAGAGATTATAGGATCATAGATTTAGATCTAGCCAGGAACTTAGAGTAGAGTCCACAATCCTCATTTTATGGATGAGGAACTAAAGCCCAGAGATGTTAAATGACTGCCCAAGGTCACACAAGTACCACGTGACAGAACCATGGTTCCAACCCAGGTCCTCTGACTCCAAAGCCTCTGACTCTTTCCATTGCAGGATCTTGGACTGCAACTTAAGTCACCTGACTTCCAGTTCCCGGGCTCTTTCTTTGCACTCTACCAGATCCCTGGCCATATCTGCATGATGCTGTAATGAGCGAAGAAAAGCCAATTGCTTTTCAAATACAACTAGCTTTTCCCAAGTAGTCTGCTGCAGACCCACATAAATGATGCATGTATCTTACTCGATAATTTGTCCCTTAAGGATTCACATTGCTAAGATAAATTCAGACCTTTTTTTTTTTTGGCCATTTATTTTTTCAGCTCTTACCCAGAGGCCTTACATCTGTTCTTTCCGAAACTGATTGCTTCCAGAGTATTTTTTTTAAATGGACGTTTTCTTGGCCTTGATTTTTCTAATCTGTTTCTGACTGATTTATTATCATTTAGTATATTTCATGTGCAAACTTTGAAGCCTTTGAGATTTTAGATTTAATCTCAAGTTACATAGTAGATCTTTTTAGGTTGAGGGGAGGTTTTCTTGCCCAAGTTGATCCACTGGTGATCATTTTTTCAATGAAAGAAAGTTAAAAGTTTGTTCTGTATAACAGAACAACTAGAGGTAAACAGATAGTTCAGCATCATGAAGGCCAACATCAACAAGCATTGTTGTGCTATGGGTTGGGGTCTAGGTTTATAGTCAAGGTCTACTTCTGACATTTACTCACTGTGTCGTCCTGGGCAAGTTGCTCGACAGTTCAATATTCCAAAAAACTCTCTAAGGCTATAAGTTACAGAGGAGGTATGGATGTATAAACTCATTAATGACAAGGACTGACTCAATTTTGTATCTACATCCCTAGCACCCAGGACAGTACCTGGCACACAGTAGACACTTAATGAATGTTGACGGATTGATTGAAGGAGTTTCCGCATCAGGCATTCTCTATATCCCAGAAATGATAAATTTGAACTCCCTCCTTTAAAAAGCCCAAAACAATGTAGCCTACAAACATGAAAGACTGTCACTAAAAATCAACCAGCCACAACTGAATGGCTTCAGTGAAAAAGACTGAAATAGATTAAGCATGGTTGGTTTCAGTAGATTATTTAAATGAGTGGCAAGATAAGAAAAGTCTCATCAAGTATGTCCAGCTTTGAGGATTATCTGAAAAGGAGGAAATATACTTTTTTTTTTAAAAAAAAACCTGTTTTATGAACTTTGATGTTACAGTAATCTAATTAAAATTAGGTTAACCCCATCCACTTCTCCCCCTTTCTGTTTTCAGCCATTTGTTATTTATGACATGAACTCCTTAATGATGGGAGAAGACAAGATTAAATTTAAGCACTGCACGCCCCTGCAGGAACAAAGCAAAGAAGTTGCCATCCGCATTTTCCAGGGGTGTCAGTTCCGCTCCGTGGAGGCTGTCCAGGAGATCACCGAGTACGCCAAGAGCATTCCAGGTTTCGTCAACCTTGACTTGAATGACCAAGTGACCCTCTTGAAATATGGTGTCCATGAGATCATCTACACCATGCTGGCCTCCTTGATGAATAAAGATGGGGTTCTCATATCCGAGGGCCAAGGATTCATGACAAGGGAGTTTCTGAAGAGCCTGAGAAAACCCTTTGGTGACTTTATGGAGCCCAAGTTTGAGTTTGCTATAAAATTCAATGCACTGGAACTAGATGATAGCGACCTAGCAATATTTATAGCCGTCATCATCCTCAGTGGAGGTAAGCTTCCATTAATACTTTCCATGGAGGGTGGGCTGAAGGGGAAGAGGGGCAAAGCAGTGATTGACTTCCCTTTTCCCTCTTAATGGGCTTCCCCCTCTGTTTGCCCATACCTGCTGGAGTCTTTGGATATAAAATACCAATGGTGTGCCAAGTGTTGTGATTGCAAATACAGAACAAACTCAAGCTTATAGGTCTATAGGTTATAGACATTTATATAGTGTCTACTCTATGAGCATGTGAGGGAGATACAGGATCTTTTTTTGTCCTTAACTTCCACATACTACCTTTACCACCAAAATCCATACACTAATGACTCCCTCCCCTACTACAAAGCTTCTCCTCCTCCAGCTTTCTTTCATTTTAATAATAATGGACTATACTTCCTAAAGGGGGTGGGGCTGGTGACCCCCTCATCCAGAAGGGCAAGGCTTCAGTTGTTTTCCCAGTCTCTGCCACATCCACACCCTAGCTTGGTTAGTACCCTCTTGCCACACCCAAACTTTTTTAAAGTGCACTTTTAAGAGAGACGGCTGGCTGGGTTAGTGCACAGAAGAACAAGTTGGTTTGTTTAGGGATCAAAAGCATGCCTTCTGTCCTGTTAGAACTGTGATCCAAATGAAATGACCAGTCTTTAGACCTTTTGAGAATCTAGTACACCTCTCTGATTTTGTGTGGTCTGTACTCAGCAGATACTTTGAACAGACTAGAAGACCCATCATTGGGATGGGAGAAGGGGAAGGTTGGCAATAACTCCCATCTTTCTTTTTTTTTTTTAATTTGTATTTTTCAAATTAATGAAGAGGCACCTTCTCTCCCTTCCCACTCCCCCCATTGAAAAAGAAAGAAAAACAAAACCCTTATAACAAATATGCATAGTTATCTCCCATTTTTCTTTAAAGAAAATGTTTTTAAGGGAAAATTTGCTGCTTAGTAAATTGAAGGTTTTAGGAAGGTTTTCTATAGGCTAATTACAAGCTTCCCTCTATTTAAGGGCATCAGTATCTTGGGAGCCAGGTGAATTGAATGGTAGAAATAAGAGAAAGACCTAGCTTGCTGATGAGGCATGAGGCCTAATTGCTTGAGCTAATGGCTTCTTTTTCCATGTGTTAAGGTTTGACTGACTTTTCCCAGGTGTTACCTGCACCTGGGACTGTCTCTACAGCATGGATAAATTGTGTTAAAGCCTTGCAGTTCTTTGGAAAGAGGCCCTGTACTGGGGTTACCGTCAAGCATCGTTCTTTCCTGTCATTCTGAAGGCAGAATTCCTCTGGAATCTAGGGTGCAATGTATCAGAACAGAGCATAACCCCCTACAGTCTGTTGGCATCTCATAGTGGCTTAATTAGAATCCAACAGTTTACTTTTAGAGGCACAAATCTCATTAAAGTTACTCTGTCAGGTTGAAATTAATTTAAAAGTAACTTTCTGGCATTGGGTTTCACTTACCAAAAATATGTACTGGAGGATATCAGCATGTTTTATTGGTCTCCCTGAAGCCACTTCAAATAAGCTCAGTTCCTTTCAGAGGGCTTTGTTCAAATTTAAATTAAAGCAATCTTCAGCCCCTGAGAATTTTAATTAATTCAGTAAAGAAGAATCTGAACCCAATTTATTATAGTTCATAGTGAGAAAGTATAGCCTTTTGACAAAAACAATCAATTTTATAAGGCACATTTGTCTGATATTTAGGAAAACTGAACAGCTGGGACGTGAGCCAGTTAAAGCTTTCTGGTTCTTAATTCAGTGGGGGAAGGGTGGGAGGATGACCAGGGCCGCTCAGATTCTGAGCTTCATGAACTTGGGCAGTGTTGTTTTATATGATTGGACGCATGACGAGAATGAGTAATCATGCATCTGTGGTTCCAAAAGCAGAGTCATCAATAAAAGGGTTGTGAATGTGCCCTGCTGCATTTCTCATCAGCGAGTCTGTTTGAAAAAGTGATTTATAGCCCTTTTTGAAATTCATTAATTAGCCTAGAATTAGCTCTGAATATGGTTTTAGATAAATATCACTCAATACTGTTACAGGAGAATGGACTTTAATCTTTAAACTTTAGTTTTTCATCTATGAGAGTAGTTCTGGGGCTAGTAACCATGTAGATTCTAAAATGTGACTTTTGTCTTAACACAAAAGAAAACACAGTAACAAGCCACATTTATGTAGAACTGTTAAGGGTTACAAAATCACTTTTCTCACCAAAACTACCTAGTGAGTTAGATAATACAAATATTTATTATTCCCATTTTATACTTGAGGTGCCCGAGTCTCAGAGAGATTGTGACCTGCTCAGGGTTAATAATGGTGTTTTATAAAGCCCTTTAAGGTATGCAAAACACTTTATAAATACCTCATTTAATCCTCACGATGACCCTGGGAGGTAGGTGTTATTATTCCCATTTTATAGATGAGGAAACTGAGGCTGACAGGTTAAGTGAACTCACCCAGAGTCAAATAGCAAGTAAGTGTCTGACGCTGGATTTGAACTCATGTCTTCCTGGCTCCAGGCCTGCCACTCTATCCACTGTACCGTCAATGTCAGAATCTGGAACTCATCCAGCCATTTTAACCCCAATCCCAGTGCTTTCCGCTTAACCAGTGGTGCCCAAATCTGAATTTCCTAATGGCTTTGCAAGAGTTCTGCCTCCTGAGTTCTAGGTACATCTAGGCAGATTCTACTCTAAGCAAATATTGCTTCTCTTAACATGAAATAAACATAGAAGAAATAAGTCATGGTGAATAAGCCGTGAAATTGGACATTAGGTCTATCAGCACTTAGCAGGAATGCAATTCAGTTGTCTGTGCAATTCTGGGGACCAGTTAGACTCTAAAGAGTTACTCAACATGGCGCCATGATCATTCCCAGTCATCAAAAACCTGTTAATCTCAAGACTGAGCCAGATTTGTGTTTACTCCAGGATGGGCCTCAGAGAGTTTTTTAGGCCCTGCAGTAAACCAGATGACCTACACCTAGTTTCCAACGAACCTATTTCCTCCAAATAGGCACAGACCCCTCAGAGCCCTCTAGAGAGCCAGGCCAGATTGCCCAGGCCTACTGTCTTTTTCTTTTTCTTTTTCTTTTTGGTGGTAGTGGTGTTTTCCAGGCCTACTCTCAACCACATTTTCACAGTCATTTAAGATAACATACATAAAGTACTTTGCAAATCTTGAAGTGCTCTATAAATATCAGCCATTATTGTTAGCTGGGTACAGGAGTTAATACTAAGGCAATGTGCCATAGCAGATTGATCTAGAGACAATTACAAGATTACACAAAAGTTGCCATCTTGATTTTCAGTTAACTCCTATCATTTGAAACAAGTGACTGAGTGAATTGACTTTTAAAACCCAGTGAAGGAGAGAGACAGCCTGGGAAAGTGACTAAAGAATGGCTTTGGAATTGAGAAGACCTGCCTCCTGGGGCATCATAACCGGGCAAGACAACTCTGTGATCCAGGAGTTCTTAACCTTGCTTATATCATGGACTCCTTGCAAAGTCCAGTGAAACCTATGAACTGCTTCTCAGAATAGTGTTTTTAAATGCATAAAATGAAATACATTGGATTACAAAGGAAACTAGTTATAGTAAAATACAGACATCAACATAATAAGAAGTACAAATTCATGAACTCAAAGTCAAGAATGCCTGCTCTATAACTAAGTTGCAAAAGAGATGTCAATTCTGCTTTGGTCAAGGGAATTTCTTCACTGGGAGGTCCTTAGACCAGTGAAATCAAGAGTCCTACTGAAGAAAATAAAACACAATTACAATGACAGATAAGCATATATAATTTCTTTTCTACTCAGTTGCAACTGTGCAGATGAACAATGAAGGATACTGTGAGTTATACAGATGTTTCCAAGTATACGATGCTTTCATATGGTACAATCAAATATTTGGATACTTGGTGGAACGTTTCTGCTTTCACACATTTGAGTAGAGTAGACTCTGGTTAGTGAGCATGACAGTCCAAACTGCAGTTGGCTCAAGCAAGACATCAAGTTCATTATTCCATCTTTGAGTTTGTAGAAGGGGGTGTGGGGTGTGAGAGGTAATCCATGCCTGCAAAAAAGCCTCCCTTCCCATCAGACTTAGCAGCTTCTTCTTCAGCTCAGCCTTAGCAACTAACAACAATCTTATCCTCTTCAGTTTCCCCTGCCTCAGGGACTTCAGAAAGAAAAAATGTTGGCAGGGATCCAACTGACCTCATTCTGGTTAAGGTACATGTGTTCCTGGTCTAGGTGAGGTACAAAAATGGGGAGGCCCATTGGGGAAATGAATGGCAGGTTGGGGGTTTTTTGAATGTTACGTATCTGATTTGACCTAACTTGGTATTTAGCAGGGTGAAGGTGGTGGCAGGAGGAAATAGTGATGTAACGCTCAGATCACTGTTATTCAACATTCTGTGCCCTGAGAACTGATGACACCCTCAGATTAGGGAGTTGGGTTTGCTTCCCTGGAGCATCTATCTACACATTGTCAGTCAGTTCTTCTAAAACCAGGTTTGAACATGATGACTCAGTTCCTCCCGAGAATTGCTCCTAGCTCACTTACTCTACCTTCCATTTTGTGCAAGAATTGGGCTAATTAAAAAAAAAAGAGTCATCCAAGTGATAGCTACTTAATAAAGTAGCTGGGTTTAAAGGTTCTAGGGTCAACTACAATCTCTTATAAGTCATGTCTAACCTAAGCCTGGAACTTGATTTCTTCCTATATTTTAACCCATTGTACCAAGCTCTAGGGCAATCTGGGGATATGTTTGTATATTTCCTCATTAATTAATGAAATATCACCACATCTTTCAGTCAACAAGCATTTATTAAACATTTACTGCATTCCAGGTGCTGTGTTAAGAGCCAAGGATACAAAGAAAGGTAAAAACAAAAATCCATAGTCCTTGCTCTCAAAAACATACATTCTAATGGGGGAGACCACATGTAAATATCTCATTATTTATTTAATAAACTGGCAAAACCTGGCAAAAGAGCAAAACGGGCAA